GAGAGGGAAAATTTTGGGGTACAACAGTTGCCCCTGTTCAATTTTCTTAAACCTGAGGATGTAGATTGGCTTGCGTGCCTTTCGTGATCCGAAGGTGGAAGATAATTGAACACTAGAGTGCCCAGAAATTTGCACTCGCATGGTGTAGTATCAGCATTGTGATGTCGGGAATGGGCTTACAGATGCCATTTGGAGATTGTTGGTAGGAGGATGGGCTTATAGATGCCATCTGCAGGAGTGTCGATCGCATAAGAGATTCCTTAGCGAGAACTTGCATACCTGAGAAAGAAAGATGGTCTTCCTGGCTTATTACAGGTGTTAATCTTCAATCTCTTTGGGTAGATGGTTTTCCTGTCTTGTTACAGGTATTAATCTATAGTCAGTCGTCCACAGATATTTTCCTGGCTTGCTACAGGTATTAAACTGGGACTTGAAAAGGTTGGTCGAGGAGATATCTGTCCTGGCTGGTTTCAGGTATTGATCTCTGACCTGAGAAAGAAGGGTCTTCCTGGCTTGTTACAGGTGTTAATCTTCAATCTCTTCTTGTAGATAATTTTCCTGGCTTGTTTCAGGTATTAATCTACAATCAGTCGTCCACAGATATTTTCCTGGATTGCTACAGGTATTAAACTGGGACTTGAAAAGGTTGGTCGAGGAGATATCTGTCCTGGCTGGTTTCAGGTATTAATCTCTGACTCGAGAAAGAAGGGTCTTCCTGGCTGGTTACAGGTATTAATCTTCAATCTCTTCCTGTAGATAATTTTCCAGGCTTGTTTCAGGTATTAATCTACAATCAGTCGTCCACAGATATTTTCCTGGCTTGCTACAGGTATTAAACTGGGACTTGAAAAGGTTGGTCGAGGAGATATCTGTCCTGGCTGGTTTCAGGTATTAATCTCTGACCCGAGAAAGAAGGGTCTTCCTGGCTGGTTACAGGTATTAATCTTCAATATCTTCCTGTAGATAATTTTCCTGGCTTGTTACAGGTATCAATCTACAATCAGTCGTCCACATATATTTTCCTGGCTTGCTACATGTATTAAACTGGGACTTGAAAAGGTTGATGGTAGCCATCTTTTGATTGACCTTCTCCTGAAAAAGGTAAACGTTAGTGAAACAACCGGCTGAAAATCATCAAACAATGAAGTCGCCATCGAACGTCTTTTATCCCACGGGAAGGAAAGGTAAACATCGAGAAAACCCGAGAAGGATGAAATCAAGGTCGAACGACCAAGAGATAAGGGTAAGGGAGTCTGTTACGCGAGGGGAAGGTATTAGCACCCCACACGCCCGTAGTACTCTACGGTATCCACTCTTGTTACCTATCTTATGGGTGTGTTTAATCTATGCTTACTGTCTACTATACTACTGGAAAATGCATGCAAAAGAAAAGAGGAAAGAATGTAGGGAAAATAAAATTATGCTCGTTCGGGCCCTACCCCGATGCCTACGTATCCCTTTTAAGGAATCAGAGCAACCGTAGTTCGGCTTATGTGTTTTTGTTTGTTTGTATTTTCTTTAACGAACAGTATTAATCTCGCCTTCTGCCGCAACTCGACCTTTGGAGATTTACGCGTCAGCACAGAAGTGAATTAATACGCTCTTTTGAAAAGGGTTTGAAATAAAGGCCCGAGGGCAAAAAGATTTTTATGTTCGTTGGTGTTTTTGCTTGTAGATAATAGCTAGTTAACCTCAAGAGAGAGATTTTAGCCATTTCTCTATTTATTCATGAAATGAGTCTTTGGGACTTAAATCATACCAAATCTTAGAACAAGAGAATAATAATGTCGAGAAGAAACCTGCTCATCATCTCTCAAACTTAGCCAAGACATGGTTTTTGTCAGTAAATTTTTATGTATTTTTGAAGTTTGTAAAATAAAAAGTTTTTTTGGTTTTTACTGCATATGCAAAGGAGGAAAGAAGGTCACAGGAAGACAAAAGTCACAGGAAGACGAAAGTCACAGGAAGATGAAAGTCACAGGAAGACGAAAGTCACAGGAAGACGAAAGTCACAAGAAGACGAAAGTCGCAGGAAGACGAAAGTCACAGGAAGACGAAAGTCGCAGGAAGACGAAAGTCACAGGAAGACGAAAGTCACAGGAAGACGAAAGTCACAGGAAGACGAAAGTCACAGGAAGACGAAAGTCACAGGAAGACGAAAGTCACAGGAAGACGAAAGTCACAGGAAGACGAAATTCACAGGAAGACGAAAGTCACAGGAAGACGAAAGTCACAGGAAGACGAAAGTCACAGGAAGACGAAAGTCACAGGAAGACGAAAGTCACAGGAAGACGAAAGTCACAGGAAGACTAGCCTATTTCTAAATCTAATGTTATCATACCATGCAATCTATGGGAAGTGATAAATGCGGGGTGAGAGTGGAAATAAAATATACCAAACGAGTATTAGCTCGTAGAGCAAAGTAAAAAGCAAAGAAACTTGATGATCTCATGAGCTTCTAACATCAACAAAGAAAAGAATTAGAAATCCAATGCTCGGAATAAGTGTTGAAGCATCATTATGTGAAAATAAATCACAATCGGAACCTCAAGCATATCCGTGTATCACACAATAAGCATGCATAAGACTCAAATCTCCAAAAACAAAAGTGAATCACGAGTCTCGAGTAATCGGATAATCAAGAATTAATTTCTAAAAATATCTCTTACAATCTAACATTTTTTTAGGTTTTTATTATATCAATATTTTTATTAACAAAATTGTTATCTAACGACTATGAAAAGAAAAGGCTAAAGAAAAGCTAGAAAAACTCTACACAGGGGTATGTGAGTCTGAAGCAGGGTGTGTATTGTAGTAACATTGACTCGCAGGCCCAACCCAATATTTTATACCTCACCAAAAACCAACTCCCGAAAATAATGGCCATGGACCTGAATGGTGTATACCTCGGTCCACTAAGATCATACCAAGATCCATCCACCTTTTATTCAGCTTCGTGTATCTCCACTGTTATCAATAAAAGGAATTAGAAAAACACAACAAACAAATGAATGGCGTGATTTTGTTCCCAGGGTTCCCAAATCGTGTGACGGTTAGACTTCAAGAGAAAAAAAGTCCTCTTCCTCTTCCCTCAATGGTGCCGAATCACACCTCCGACTCGTTCTTTCTACTTTGGTTTCACAATTCACTCGTATCTCAAACCTCTGCTCCTCTCTTCATTGTTCGCTTTTGATCCGCCTCGATTCATACGTCTCTCTTCTCAGTGAGTTCGCCTCTCAACCTCACCCGTTCGTCAACTCATCTCAACACCTCCATCTCAGCAAACACCTCCGCAAACCATCGAGTTTGACTCAATCTCAAAAATCTCAACATCTCTTCTGCCGATTCGTTTTCATTTCGATTTTCTATGTGTTTCGTATCTTTTTGTGGATTCAACAACTTATTCGAAACAGAAATTGCAGAGAAACAAAAGAAGATTTACCTATCCGGTAGCTATTCAAAGTGGCGGCGTTAATCAGAAAAGACCAGCGGTATAGAAGGTATACTCTTCAATCTCTTGCCTATGCTATTTCTCTTCTTCTTCTTCTCTTTCGATTCTCCCGTTTCTGAATTGTTGCTACTGTGTATGATATGAAGGCGATGTTGTTGATGTTACCGTGATGTTGCTACGTTGAACATTGGTGATTGAAATTGTTGTGCACATTGATATTGTGATGATGCATTGATGTTGTAGGTTGGTGTGGAGGTGATGAAGTGCGTTAAAGTTTGATGTGAAGATGATGATGAGTGTTGAAGATGTGCAGAGATGACGAAATGGAGAAGAAGGTTGAGTTTTCAGAGTGTGAGTTCAGAGAATTTGGAGGATTGAGATGAGGATGGTGATTATGATGGTGAACTGATGCGTGGATGAATGTGGATGAATGTTCTAAAGCTGGAAAAATGGTGAGAATTGTGGAGTGAAGATGAAGAAATGAAGGTTTGTACCGAGACGGAGAGTGAAGGAATAGTTTCTGAGAATTTTTGGTGAGTTCTTGATCTCTCCTCTTTTGTGTTTTCCTGTGTTTGTGAAATAAAGAATAGATCTCCAAACTGAAAATCCCCTCTTCCCCCCTTTTTCTATTTTGTGATCTCCCTCTATATGCTGGAAGTTTTGTTATTTATAAGCCATGAGTTGGTTATGTGGTTAGTTAATTCTGTTAGGAAGTTAGGATGCAGTTTGTTATGCAGTTATAAGTGGTTAGAAGGTTTGAGAGTTTGTTATGAATTGGTTACTGAATGTTAGGTATGTTGTAACTGTTTTTGGGTTAGTTAAGTTGGTTAGTTGAGACATGGTTTTGGATAGGAAGTTATGGTTAGAAAATTCTGTTAGGGAATTTAGTTGGGGAATAGGTTGTAAGAAAGCTGGAAATTTATTGTTTAGAAATTCTACTTTGGAAGTTGGTTAAGAAACAGTTAGGAATCTGTGAATTAGAAAGGTTGGTTGAAATTGTGTTATTTATAAGTTAGAAGTCCTGTTTGGAATTGGTTGGAGTTAGAGGAGTTAGGCTGTTAGAGGAAGTTGTGTTACGGTAGTTAAGAGATGAGCTGGAAAATCGGTTCGAGGGGAGGTTATGTGTTAGTTTTGGAATGAAGAGTAGCTAGGATACTGTTTAGTTATTTTTCTGCTGGACAGTTAGGGAATATGACAGTTTAGTAGCAAATTACTTAGAAATTCTATTGTGAAAGGAGGTTAATGGATTTAGCTAAGTTTGTTGAAGGCAATTTTGTTATTAATAGGTAATATGCTATGTGAAGAAGTTAGTAGTTGAACGAAAATGTTAGTTGGAATTGGTTAATTTCGGTTAGGAGTTGGTTTGTTGTCTTCTGTGGCCTATCACCCTCTGCTGACTCGATTCTACTATTTGGAGCTTTGGAAAATTCACATTCTGCGAACAATGAGATGTGATAAATACCATCACATTGTATAACCAAACATGCTCTAAAACCTGTCCGATCATAATGCTTCTGCCAGTTATCATAAATCTTACTTCTACTTCTTTCTACATCTTGCGGAATGCAATTAAAACAATCAACCAAAGGAGAATAACGGAAACAGTTATTCGTGCTAGCCGACTGTATTGCATTTGATATTGAGATCTTTGAAGCTGTCTCTGAATAGCGCCACACCATCCATAGAGTTTCTTGTCGTAACATTCATCCAAACTATCGAGGCTACTTTTAGTTTTTTTCAAGGCAGGTTTTGTTTCCCCTATTCAATTCAGCCATTGGAATTAGTGCACTATCAGTTTCTTTATGATGATCCACTGTTTTCAGTTTTCTATAACCATTCCTCGGCCACTTCAATTTCGAGATTGATTCAACAGAACTAAAAAATCCCGATAAGCTTGGCACCTTATGCATTGGACCACCTCCAGAAGAACCACTGGAGGAACTCAACTGCTGTGGATCATCGTTAACTGAAATTTTCCAATAACCAATATCAGCACTAGCACTAGCCACCCTACGAAACCCGTGTGATACCTCCTCCTTAACTTCGCCACGCCCAGTTGAAACAGGAAAATCCTTCGACAAATTAACGACATAACCCTTATCACATAATCGCTGACTGTTGCTTTCAGCTACTGGCATTCCTAAAAGAAACATAGCAAGCTCGTATTTTTCTCCTTCGTCCAAACACACCCACTGCCGAGATGCCTTGCCACCCAAAGGGAAGGCTTCATTTAACGAAAGCTCGACTTTCTTTATCTTATCCTCCATAGCAGTGATAAAATCTCGATGCCTAGTTCTTGCATCATTACCAGAGTTTCTGCTATAACTTGACTTAATCTCACGTTGAAATTCCTCTAACTGCCATTTAGTAGTGCCAAGAGTAGTAAGTAAATCTCTTCTGAGTTCATTAGGGTTCCACCTGCTTGAATTATCTTTGGTAGCATGAATCCATGTCCTAAATGTAGATTCCATCCTATCTACAGATTCTTGAACTTCTTCAGCGGCGTTAAAGAATGGATCTTTTTCCCATCGGTCAAAACTGGACGCCATGAATAATTGAGAAAAATGATCTGAAAATATAAACCCTAACTAGGGAAATTAAAAATGAATTGAAAAATAAAAATAAAAAGGAAGAAATGGATTTGAGAGAAGGATTTGTGGTTAGTTAGAATATGGTTTTTCATGTGTCGAGTAATTTGTATGAGCATAGGATATTTTGGCATGATTGCTTGTATTGACTTGGATTTTTTTTGTATGAATGTGCAGGTCATGAACTGAAGATGAAGAACTTTGGCATGGCATAGAATTAGAAGCTTACTCATGGAATTTTAGCACCTTTAGGACTAAAGAATTTTGTTCAAGTGTATTTTGTAACCGTTTTCTTTTCTTTGTAGAATATTGGTGTAATGGGATTGTAATGATTTTATAATGAATGTTTGATTTGGATGAACTTGAAATTTATAGTGTGAATTATTAATGACTTTGAGCTTGAAATGTCAGGTGATGGATTTTTTTTGGACGGAGTTTAAATGACAAAGTCTTGAAAAATGCTTGAAGATATGAAAGCATCAAATTTTCTTGTGGGGTGTTGTTACAATTGAATGAAATTGAATGGAATTGGATAGTATTTTCTTGAACCATGAATGAGAATGAAATTGAATGGAATTGGATAATATTTTCTTGAACCATGAATGAGAATGAAATTGAATGGAATTGGATAATATTTTCTTGAACCATGAATGAGAATGAAATTGAATGGAATTGGATAATATTTTCTTGAACCATGAATGAGAATGAAATTGAATGGAATTGGATAGTATTTTCTTGAACCATGAATGAGAATGAAATTGAATGGAATTGGATAGTATTTTCTTGAATAAATGTTTGAACGCATTGTGAACTTGAATCTGAAATAAAGGTGAACATCTTTGTAATGCGTATGAACTCTGACTTGAAACAAAACCTCGCAGTCTGTACTTTACCTTCCAAGAAAGCCATATGAACAATACTTAAGACTCTTTGCCGACTTTAATCCAGTCAAACACTTTCGAACATCTTGAATTTAAATCAAACTTCAAATCCAAATCACACTTGCATTCTCAATGAACTCCTAACTTCAATCTTGAATCCCAAATCAACTTGATGACAAATAATTTGAATAGCCAATAAGATCTTGATCCTAAAAATTCACGACCTTGACGACCTTTAATCCATAAGTTCCTTATCTCGACGAGGCCCTTCTCTAATTGACGACCTTTAATCATCAAAGATGTACACAAATGATAATGAAAGAACATGATCGAGATTAACATGAAACCTTATTTCCCCTGATCTTCAATTACTTGAACATTTATCAATGAATAGAAATCCTGATTTTTAATGAAATCTTCCTTTTCTGAACCAATATTTCTTTTCCTTTACCATACTATTCTTCAAATGCAACTCAAATTCCCAACACATATTAGATGAAAATTCAAGGGAGACCTTGGCCCCAAAGTTAATTGTTCAAAGCTTACTTTAACCGAAGTCAGCAGATCTTATCCTCGTATCTTTGAACTTTGCCCATGATTATGCATCTCAAGGTCTCATAAGAGCTTGTAAGCCCATCAACCAGGTATGCCATATTGAACAAAACCCTGCCTTAAATGCCTTGAACCTTTAATTACCTTGCATGAATTCTTTCCTGAGAAGCCCACTTCAATCCCAACCTACTCGCATTGCAGATAACAAATGACAATGACGAGGACAATGATTGCCTTGGTTAAGGAGAAATCTATGAATTCATATCTTAGGTCATGAACCATGCTTCACAATTCAATCCCCAGCCCTTAGCGATTGGTTATTTCAACTTGAAATTAGCGTCATAAGGAACATCTTACAGAGGGATGATAAAGTATGAATCACAGAAGAATTCCCTTGACGTGAAATCTAGTTGCACAAATAAAAACCCCAGCACTTGCCGAGACTGGATAAAAGCAATTATATCTTGAAGAGAAAGAAATCATGTTAACCACACCTCACGATCTTGATTTCCCGTTTAGATGCACAGAGAAATATCCGAATGAAACATCTTTGAACCATGATTCAACAAAACCTAAATTGATTAACTCAGGAGTAGATGAATGTCATGTCACAGTCATAAATCTTAATCAAATGACAAGCATACTTATATGAAAGGATGCCATGCTTCAAAGTCCACATATGCTAGGTCACGTCCTAGAATTCTTGACCAGAATGATCTACAACCAGTTGTTCATCAAAAGATATTAGCCCAGTAACTTGGTGGAGAAGAAATCCAGAAATGAGCCTAAAAAAACCTAATTCCAAAGCTTGTTGCATGAATAAGAAATCATCCTTTATTGGATACGAGCGCCTTAACCACTGTGAAACCCTAGTATCGCACAACCACTGAACTTTGAACCTCAGAGCTATATTGAATGAAATGTATGCCATGTTAGTGACCTAATGAAATAGATGCAGATGAATGCAAAAGTCTAAGCCAAAAATAAAGGAAATTAGGAGGGAAAATTTTGGGGTGCAACAGCTGCCCCTATTTAATCGCCTTCAATCCTGAAGGTGAGATTGGCGTCAGCCTTTCGAACTTTCAGGGTGGAAGAAGAATAAATACTAAAAGAACCCGAAAATTTGTGCTCCGAAGCCAGTCAGGTATTATTATATCTTTGGTTTTTCTGAATCTATTTTTATTATATTATTTTGCTTTTTGGATTACATGGGTTATCGGGGTTAGATGTATGTTTAACCAGAGTTTGATACACAGTAGAATAACTTGGTTATCAAGGAACATCTGTTGGGATTTAGTAACAAACACCTGTAAGAAAGGTATCAAAAGATATATGCCTGAAGCCTGTAGTAGACATACGAAAAGATATCAGAGACACATATCCGGGGGTGGTAGCGGATATACAAGAAAGAGACATCAAAAATACATATCCGTGGTCGGTATCGGACACGTAAGAAAGAGATAGAAAAGATACATATCCGTGGTCGATATCGGATACGCACAAAAGATATAAAAAAGATACATATCCGTGGTCGGTATCGGATACGCACAAGAGAAATATCAAAGATACATATCCGTGGTCGGTATCGGATACGTACGAAAGAGACGTCAGAGATACAAGAACATATGTCTGAGGTTGGTAGTAGACATATGAAACAGGTGTCGAAAATACATATCCGTGGTTGGTATCGGATACGCATAAAAGAGACATCAAAGATACATATCCATGGTCGGTATCAGATACGTACGAAAGAGACGTCAGAGATACAAGAACATATGTCTGAGGTTGGTAGTAGACATATGAAACAGGTATCGAAAATACATATCCGTGGTTGGTATCGGATACGCACAAAAGAGACAGACCGAAGAAATCTCTTGCAAAGAAACACCAATCGAAGGCGGACTTACTGAGGAAGGAGACCAAACGAGTGGGACTTCAGACAAATGATGTCAATAGAAGGTGGATTTAAAAGAAATGACACCATCCGAAGCGGGATTTTGACAAAAGATACCAGCCGAAGCGGGGTTTTGAAAGATACAGGTATGCATGTCTGGTTAGAGTTAGATACATAAGAGCGAAGTTGATCATCAAGAAACAAATGTTTAGAATTGCTAGCGAACACAGGAACAAGACTAACCGAAGAAAGCCCCAATAAAAAAGGCGTATTCGCCTAAATAAGGATGCTAGACAACTAGACTTTGAAGAGACACTGAAAGACTCTTAATCATAAAAGATTAGCTAGGCTAACGAAAGGAGGACCCGACTAACGTGGATAAACCAAAACAAGGAACCGACTAAGCAGGACCTTCAAAGAGCACCGATCGGATGTGTACTCTGCAAGAGAAAGGGACTGGTCCAAGCAGACTCTAACGAAGAAAAACATGTTAGGATTTCGATAGGTTGTAAATACGCAAGAACTAAAAAATCCCTCAGGCCAAAGGCGGGGTATAATTCTTCAAGAGTGGCAATCATTTGAATTACCACACACCAAGTATGGACACTCAAATACTTGAGAAATAAGAAAGGCTATACGCCGACTCTTACTCTCACTCTAACGGAAAAGCGAACACGGGTAAAATAACCAAAGGCTTGCAAAGGCAAACGCAAACCACAAACTTACTGGGGAGATAGAGGAATACCAAAGACCCGACTGATGGTGAATCAAAACAAACCCCACTGAGGAAACATAATAGAGTCACCCTTAGGCTTGTTATGGAGATAAATCAAATCTGAGCGCATAACAATCTGGTTACCACAAGTGGACATAATTGGCTTATACTTATGCATGTTTGAATTTTTTATAGCGTAATCCTCCATGCAATGGAAATGATATGCATTTTAGTAGATGCGATGTAATGATGCAATGTAATGATGCATGTTTAGTAATGCACTGGGGAGACCACGTCAATAATCGGATGTTGGGAAGACAATGAACTTTCAAATGATTATTCTTGCACATCTAATCTTCTGTAGAGAACATGCAATATGAACTTCAGTAGGAAATCGAGATTCGAAACCATCAACCTCGAACAATTGATAACATTGAAGAAATAACGTCCTGGGTAGTAATACTGCAAAAAATAAATTGCAGTTTGAGAGAAAATCTTGAATTATGATCAAACTTCCAAATTCCTGGGGGATAGATACTTTATCTTCTGTTAGAAAGGGGAGAGCTTCGCTGGGGATGGAAGCTTTCTCTTGTGCATAACTTCTTTACGAAGATAGCTTCTACTGGGGAGTATAGAAATTCTTAAATAAATAGAATTCTACTCAGACCACACTGGGGATAACAACGCCGGGGGATAAAAATCTTCACTTGGGGAAGAACCAAACATCCTAGGACAGAAACTCCACCGCTCACATCTCAACAAAATCTTTCATATTCCGGGATGAAGGAGTTATAATTGGTGCTCCCATGTGCACCATACTGGGGAGAAGATGACACTTGTTCTAGAAAGCATGCTCCACTAGGGAATGAAAACTCGCTTCACTGGGAAAAATACTGCAAAAATAAATTGCAGTTCAGGG